ATTAAATTTTTTATTAAAAAATTTTTATTGGTTTTTTTTGTCACACAGTCTATATAGCTCAGGCTGGTCTTGAACTTGAGATTCTCCTGCTTCAACTTCCCAAATACTGGGATTATAATATGTAATTACATAATATTATAATATGCACATGTGTAGAATTCCATAATACTTAGGATGATGATTTTTTATTGTGATTCCAACGTTTTGCTTCATTCCTTGATAATTTCATACATGCATGCAGTTAGATATGATCGTATCTACTTCCTCCCTCCAGCTCTCCCCAGATCCCCTTGAACCAACTAAGTCCATTCAGTGCTGCCGAAATGTGCATGGGTGTGGGACCATCTACTAGAGCATGGACAACTTACCACTCAGTGCCCACACCCTGAAAAAATGTAAATCCAACATTTTTTTTTTGGTCTTTTTGAGACAGGGTCTCTCCGTAGCCTCAGGTGGCCTAGAACTCACTATGTGGGCTAGGCTGGCCTTGAACTCACAGAGATCCACCTGCCTCTGCCTCCTGAGTGCTGGAATTAAAGCCGTGCACCACCACGCCCAGCTGTGAATCCCAACATTTAAAAAGAATATTCAGGTTTATTTAACCAATTGGTCATTTGAAAAACTGGTTTTTGGTAAGTTGACTTTTGGCAGATTGACTTGGACAGAGTCATGTGATTGTCTTCATGTGGAAGATGATGAAACTCTGGGGCTCAGAGAGGTTATCACAGCTGCTGAAGGTCACAGTCAGTAAACGGCAAAGTTGGGTCTCAAACACAAGCATGTCCCAGTGTGAAGCTCAAACTCTTAACTCTGTATTCAGACTCATGTCTCCTCATGACTCTACCTGCCATTCCTGCCCCATGAATTCATATCTAAAGGCTTTCCTTGCTCTTCCTTGTGTCCACGAATCCCAACTGCCCTCAGTGAGGCAACCCGGTTATATTCAAGGCTTTACCATGAGGCCTGCTGTTTCCAACCAGTCAAGTGAGTGTTTGCTTTGCTATAAAGGAAACTCAAGTTCCCTCAGCTACTTTTTGGAAACAGCTGCTGACCTGCCTCTGTCATGGCTATATGGTCAGTCTCCAGGGGACTTGGGACAGTCCCATCTGTGAAGACTCAGATCGAGTTAGAGCCAGAGTGTCCTTCCACACCTCTTTTGTCCTTCCTGGAACTCCCCATCCTCACAGACCCGGCCTACACATGCTCCCCATTGTCCCTCACCACTGGTCATTAGCACCATATCTTGCTTCACCAGAAGAGCAACATCTGTACTGTGGTCCCTTCCACAATCCCGGTGGTTCTTCACCTGGGGCCCTGGCAAACTCACACCCTTAATTTGTTTTCTCGTTGCTATATTTTGGCTTATAATCTCTTAACATCTTAAAAAACTTTTAAATCTAGCCAGATGTAGTGGCGCACACCTTTAATCCCAACACTCGGGAGGCAGAGGCAGGTAGATCTCTGTAAGATAAAGGCCAGCCTGGTTTATGTAGTAGTTCCAGGCCAACTGGAGCTACAGGGATAACTTTTCTCAAGAAAACACCCCTCCCCGATTTAAAACTCTAGCCAGGCCTGGTAGCTTCTAGTTCCAGCACAGGGGGGCTGAGGCAGAAAGATTGATAGTCTGAGGCTAGGCTGGTGAGATGGGTCAGTAAAAATTTCTTGCATGCAGGCCTGATAACCTGAGTTGAATTCCTGAATCCCACAAAGTGGAGGGGAGAACTGACTCCAGAGAGTTATCTGTTATCCCCCAACTTTTACACTTGCACCTGTGTGCATACTTGCACACATGCACGCACACACATGCACACACACAGAGCCATGCACACTAATAATTTAATTATTTTAAAATTTTAAGAAAGAGAATTTGAGAGAAACCTCGGCTACATAGTGAGATTCTCCCTCACAAATTAGCTAAAAATTAAGATAACGTACGCTTTCAAAATCCCACCCATGCCTTCTGTATAAGTGATGATCCTGCTCAGTGATGACACTGACTTTGGGTGATGAGTCTTTCTGGTGTCTTGACAGTACTATTGAACTCTATCAGCAGAGAATGCAGTGGCTCACAGAAAACAGCAAAAAGGTAACGGGCACATGTGTGCTCTTCCCCTCCCCCACCCCACTCATTCCATCTGTGCTGGTTAGGACTCTCTATTACAGATGAACGTCTCCAACTAAACTCGACTTTGGCGAAAAAGGAAAATTCTTAAGCCACATAAATGAAGTGCTCAGTGTCCAAGTGCTCTTTGTCTGAGCTCTTACATTCTCCCCAAACCTTAAAAATAAAAAAATCAAGCCAGGCATGGTGGCACATCGTGTAGTGTCAGCACTGGGGAAGGCTAAGGCAAGAAAATTGAAAGTCAGGGCCAGCAAGATGGCTTAGCATGTAAAGACGCTTGCCGTGGAGCCTGAGGACCCGAGTTCGACTCCTGGGTTTCACATGGTAGAAAGAACCAACTCCAGAAAGTTGCTCTCTGACTTCTACATGCTGTATGTGCATTAAAATGTCTTTCACATTAGCTGTCCAGATTTTAAAATCTTCATTTTACTTTCATGCCTGTTGTCAGGCTGTTCTTGAAAGAGGAGAGTGCCTGGTGTCACTGGGCTTCGTTCTTTCATATGTACTTAACCCAGTTATCTCGATGGGATAAATTCTAAGATTTTAATAACAAGACTTAGGATGATGCATGCTTTGAAACTTTAATGGAAGTTTTCTTACAGTTTTAAAGATTTATTTTTTTTAACTTATGTATATGCTTATGTGTCTGTGCATACATGTGCAGGTGCCCCTGGAGTCCAGAAGAGGGCATCAGGTTCCCTGGGGTTGGAGTTACAGGCGATTGTGAGCTGCCCAATGTGGGTGCCAGGAGCCAAACTCCAGTCCCCTGCAAGAGCAGCCAGAACTCTTAACCACTGAGTCATTTCCCCAGTCCGCTCTAGTTTTAAAGTTGCAGCCCCTGAGACCTGGCAATGTGCTGGGAAGCCTTGGGCTTCACATGAGTCCTGAATACAGTGAATATTTATTAGATAAAGATCAAGCAGTGCTGTAGAATAAAGAGAACAAACATGAGGTCCAGCCTTCCTGGAATTCCTCTGTCAGAGAGAACAATGAAGGATAAGTTCACAAATCATACAGGAGTTCCACTAGTAACAGTGCTATAAAAAATATAATAAAGCAAGCAGGGAGCACATTAGAGAGAGGACTCTTTAAGTAGGGCAGGCAGGGAAACCACTCTGAGGGAGGGACATTTGAGCAGTCACCCAAAGGAAGCAAGAGGGTGAACGAGCTAGTGGAGAATGTTCCAGGCTCACCCAAAGGAAGCAAGAGGGTGAACGAGCTAGTGGAGAATGTTCCAGGCAGAGAAAATAACACATACAAAGGCAAGACCTGTGGCATATTCTAGAAGTAGCAAGCAAGCCATTGTATCAGCAACAGAGGGAGCAGTGTGGACAGTGGAAGTGAGGCTGGATAGGAAGGTTCAGGTCAGGAAAAGCCTGTTCCAAAGGTGAGGGTTTTAGGCAGGCAGTGAGATGGTCTGACAAGTTTCAAAAGCATCAGCCTGGCTGCTGTAGGATGGACTGCCAAGAACTCAGGAGGAAGAAGGAAGGGGTGAGAACCATAGTGGCTTAGACGCGGGTGCTAGTACGGGTGGGATGGGAAATGGATTCAGGACATAGTCAAGCAAAGGACTGGATAGGGTGGGGCCAGGGTGCCTGGAACAGTGTTGCATGCCATTTACTGAAATGGAAAGGGTTGAGAGAGGAACAAGAAGAGGAGGAACCAGGAGGGGGAACCAGGAGGCCTTGTCTGGGACCTAAGAAGTCAGAGGGTCTCACTAAACATCCAGAGAGAGGTAAGAGCAGTGGTCAAGGCATGTGTCTGGGAGATGGCCATAGGTACTCACAGGCATTCAGATGATAGACACAAGACACATGAGTTCACATATAGGGTATGTGTGGAGCAGTGATTTTCAACTGGTGTGTGTTCAAGGCTGACTTTGCTCCCATAGCGAACATTTGGCAACACCTAAAGACATGTTTGGTCGTCACAGCTGGCAGAGATGAAGGTGCTTCTGATATCTAGTTAAGCCCAAGGATGTTGTTCAACATCCCACAATGCCCAGGGCAGCCCCCAACAGTGGAGAATCATCCATCCTCAAACTTCTAACATGCCAAAGCTTGCAAGCTCTGATTAGGAAGAAGGCAGAGGTGGAAACTGCATTAGTTACCTTCGCATTGCTGTGACAAAACACCAGACAGAAGCAACTAAGGGAAGATTTGTTGTGGCTCACAGTTTTAGGGGGTGCAGTCCGTCATGGAGAGGAGGGTGAGACAGAAGGTAAAACTGTCTCCTTTTCCCCCTTTTATTCCATCTGGGTCCCCAACATCCTGAGACACACCCCAGAGGTGTGCCTCATCTGTCTCATAGGTGACCCTAAAGCTAGTCAAATTGGCATCACAGAGCCCTAACCTACTGCTTTTAATGTGTGTTTAAATCACCTGAGAGGAGTGGCTTTTTTAGCTGAAGCCAACTTAAAAATCAGGTATTAGTCAGTTTTTCACTGCTGTGACAAAACACTTGAAAAAGAAAAAAGGAAAGATTTATTTTGGATCATGGTCTCAGATTGTTACTTTTAAGCTCTGATTAGGTAGAACACTTGGTGGGGATAGAGCAAAACTGATCAGCTTATGGCATCCAGAAGAGGTGGTGGGAGAGAGAGAAAAAAAGGACAAAGTGGGAGGGGAATGAGGAGGAGGGGAGCCAGGGCAGAAAAGAAGGAAGGAAGGGAGGAAGGGACGGAGGGAGGGAGGGAGGGGAGGGGAGGGGAGGAGTAAAGAGGAAGGAGCACAGGGACAAAATAGATTTAAGGACATGCCTCCGGTGACCATGTTCCTCTATTTAAGTAGGTCCCCAAAGTTTCCTCCACCTCTCAATAGAGCCACCAAGTTATAAATCTGTGGGGCAGAGCCCTCATAATCCAATCTCCTCTTAGTGACTGGATCTGTCAGCTGGGGACCAAGCTTAACATGAGCTTTTGTAGAAACACTTTGCAGGTAACTTCTGGGGCATGTACCTTTTGGGAGAAGGGTAAAGACAGAGCCTTACTCTGTAGCCCAGGCTGGCCTTGAACTCAAAACAATCCTTCTGCCTCAGCTTCTTGAATGCTGGAGTTACAGACCTGATCCACCATGTCTGGATGCAATTCTGCATCTCTGATGGCTCCTACGTGATGATAATGGAGCAAGTTCTTAGGGCACCCTTACTGGTTAGCACCTAAAGTGAAGAAGAAGATCGGCCTCACAAGGGAGCTCGAGATGGACTGTCAGTGAGGGAAGAGCAAGCAGGAGAATGCGGTGTCCTGGAAGACAAGGGTGCTCGATGTCATATGCTGCCAGATTCTGACATTGCCAAACTGTGCCATCTGCTACTCAGAGTTTGAGGAAGCTGAAAACTTGGGTTTTGCAGGATAGAGGTCACTAATCCTCTTGACACATGTAGCTTCATAAGAGGAAGGAGAATGAGAGTCTAACTTGAGTAAGTCACAGAGACATGGGAGGGAATGCAGAATTATCGATCTCATGTGACTAGGAATTCCAGTTCCCATCTAAGGTCTCACTGTGGAATAAACACACACAAGGAATCCAACAGCATTGGCATGTGCATAGTAATCACTGATAAAAACTTAACCAGAAACTCATAGAAATACCATGGCTGCTGTTGAGCTCCTCATATCTGCCTTTCACTGAGAAGGCAAAATGTAAATACAGATAGATACAGAGAAGTTAGGTAAGATAAACGAACGGCACAAGATATCAAACTTTGTGCCCTATACAGGAATCTTTTCCACAGGCTCCTGGTTTTCTGCAAATTACATGCACTATTTTATGAGACTGCTCATTAGCTACTAAGAATCACTCGTAGAGTAGACTGCTGCCACCTGGGAGCAAACAGTGCCTGGAACCCAAGTCAGATCTGGGTCTTGTTGGATCGGGGCTTACACCTCTCTCTTCGTATTGAGATAGGTGTTCACCTCAGGAGACATACAGAGCTGTGCTGGCTGATCGCAAATTTTCTCTTTGGTTTTAGGCATTTGGCCTCATCAAAGGAACCAGAGTGGGCATCCTCGTTGATGTGTCCAGGGTCAGCAGTGGCCCTCAAAAAGAGGAATTCCAAAATGACCTCATAGTAAGTCTCCGTGGTTCAGGCTGTACCTGGAGCCTCCCTCTTCCCCACCCTCCCCTGCCTTTGTTTATAGCAAATGCAAAACAGGGTGTTTTATAACGAAAAGTTCTCACTTACTTAGCACCTACCGAAGAAACTTGTGAAATTCTGAAAAACCTCACCACAGACTCATTTTCACTTGCAGTGTGAACTTCTAGTGTTCTCCCCACGGAGGTATTTACCAGCTAAATGAACCCACATTCCCTGGAGAGAGGCAGTGAGGACTGAAATTCAGTCCTTCCTTGGTTCATCTGTTCAGGATTGACTCTAGCACAGTACAGCACAGCACTGGGATCCTGGCTTTTTCTAGATGGTGAATCTACTTGCTTTCTTTTTCAAGTCCAGAACAGCTACCACCACCATTCCATTCCAGGCTACGGGACATAGAACCTAATCTGTCAGGGCCACAGTTACTACCTCTGTAAGTGAGGGCACAGACAACATGGCTGCCTCATATGGATGTCAGGATGAAAGGAGTTTTTGCAAAGTGCCCAGTGCCGTACCTGACATATACAGACTTGTAAGAGGATGTAGAAGGCCTATTACTTTATGGAAATCTCTAAGCTTTGGATAGATACCATAGCACCAATAACTCCTTATATTTTACAAAAGTCTAACAGAATAGACTCTGTGTGGGACAGCCATCCAGAATTGTCACCATTCTGGGTCTCAGTGGTGTTGGGAAACAGGCGTCAGTACCCTCATGACAAGGCCTTAGGGCTAAGTTTCTAGAGATCCTAAGGCAAAATAGTCTACTATTATCCATGTCAAGCCTTATGCTGGATCAAGTAAGTGAAATTTCTGGCTTACTGAGAAGGGGGAGGGGATTATGGTTCCAGATCAATGCTCACCAGCTACTGCTTGAGGCCCTAAACAGTATGGTGTAGGACCCAGTGCTCCATCCCCATCTCTCATACCTCAGAGAAAACCTCTGCCTCTGCCCTCTGTCCTCCCTCCCTAGGGGCCACAGACATGTGGCCATCACTCAGCCACAGCCCATGCTAAGAGTGGAGCAAAGATAGCTCATTCCATACATAAGGCCCAGCATCCCACAAGCAAATGTCAGCTGGGGGCTGGACACTGAGCCAAGGTCAAGTATCCCTGTTTAGCACAGCTCAATTCCCCACCTTCAAGAGCCAGCCTAGGTAAGTGGGTAAAACCGGGCTCCACAGGCTCCTGACTCTGGGCCACTTGTCCTTTATTCACAGAGCCTTATTGATGAGCAGCTGAGCCTCAAGGAGAAGCTGTATGTCCTGTCCTTTGGTGTCACCACCTCGGCCCTCTGGCCAGACCCGGTGGAAGTCAGCACCTCCGTGTGAGTGGCTACCCAGCCTCCTCCTGGTTCAGGTGTTCCAAGTCATTGAACGTGTGCTTTTGTGCTTGCTGGCTTGTTTAGTTTGTTCGTTACAAACAGGACTGTATGTATCCCAGACTGACCTGCCATGCTGCTGAGGATGACCTTAAGCTTCTGACTGTTAGGATGACAGGTATGCTGTAACTACACCGGGTTTATGAGGTGCCAGGGATAGAACCCACGGGTTCATACATGCTAGGCAAGTGCTACCAACTGAGCTCCATCCTCAGCCTTCACTGGATGTTTAAGATGCAAAACTCTAGAAATAAGCACATGGTAACAATTCACAAAAGCAGAAACATGAGTGGCCAGCAGTGCCTGGAAAGATGGTCACCGCCACAGGCAGTCCACACAGTGAAGGACAAGACCACCACAAGGCAACTCACTTTTGTTTTTTGTGATCTGAAGATGGAGCCCAGGACCTTGAACATGCTTGGCAAGTGCTTTACCACTGAAGTGCTTTACCACTAAGCCACATCTCCAGCCCAAGACACCATTTTTTTTTTTTGCAGCAAGCTAGAAATAATAGCTTTGTTATTATGAAAATAACATGTTTTTAACAATTCAAACAGCCTGAAGGGATAAATAACAACAAATGACTCTCCTTTACACTGCCCTTTACACATATGGCTTTTGGTATCTGTCTCCGTGGATGGTCTACACACGCATGGACCCATGTCCCAGCTGAATTAGACAGAAGCGGGCTAGCTAGGCCTAATGGTGCATGCCTGTATTCCCAGCTATTCAAGAGGCTGAGGCAAGAGGATGGTATGTTCAAGGTCAGCCTAGGCTACAGTGAGTTCAAGGCCAACCTGGACAACTTAGTGAGACCCCTGACTCAAAATAAAAATTGAAAGTAAAGAGAATACTGAGGATCTACAGATCTATGTTAGAGTGCTTAGCATGTGCAAAGCCCTGGGTTCCGTTCCTACTGCCATAAATATAAACAAACACAAGTAGCACTCATAACTGTATTCTGGGCTGTGACTTTTCACCCATTTTTGACTATCACTTCCTACCTGCACATAGACCCACTTCGCTTGTAAAGGCTGCATACTATTCCGCTGCACAGATGCTCCTAGTTGGAAAGTTCTAGTTTGAGATTTGGGGTATTTGGGAAGGAGGTACTTAAGAGAACTCAGTTATGCCACTGCATAGAAATTTTTTTCCATAAAAAAAAATGTCCTTGATCACCCTGTGGCGCTGGGGGCCACGTTAGGCACTTCACAGGTATGAGCATCTTTAACATCTACAACCATTGCAACTTTGCAAATGGAGAAATTTGGGCACAGGAAACACATCCAAAGTAACATCCTGAATGGACTTCCAAAGCTCAGAGTAGAATCAGGAAAAATACAGGTTTAGTGGCCAGTGAGATGGCTCAATGGGTAAAGGTACTTGCCACCAGTCCTGACGACCTGAACTCCATCCCTAGGATGGAAGCATCCCATGGTGGAAGGAGAGAACCAACTCCAAAAAGTTGTCCTCTGACCTCCACATTCTGAGCATGGCACATTCAAGCCCCACTCCCAATAAATAAATAAATGTAATCTTTAAACAAAACCCTCTGAACTTGGATTCCCCTTGTCCAGCACCAGCTATGTAAAGAGCAAAGCCCAGCTCTGGTTTTGAGCCCCAGTTCTGCCACTCTCTGTCTTGCAGAATGAGGCTAGTGATACCTTCACAGTTTTGTTATCAAGAAGAAATAAAAAATAGGAACCTGGCAGGCAACAGATGCTCTGTGAAAGAGAGCACATCTTACTGTTTTCCACTCCAGTTAAACCATTGATCTCTGAAATGTTGGACTTTGAAGTCACTCTGAGGTTTCTAGCCAAGAGCTGCTCTCTTTGGTCCTTTATTGGGTCTCCCTTATCATGTCCCAATATTATATTTCTCCTATATCACTAGAACTTGCTGTGTAACACTTGTATTAGCATCCATTTTTATATCAGTTCTGTTTATTACCGAAAGAAATTTCTACCAATACTATATTCAAGAAGCCCATATCCCTTGCCATAATTAGGAAGTAGCCATAAAAATAAATATAAAAGCAAACAGTGATAATACATTCCAACTTGAGGCCTGGAGAGATGGCTCAGCAGTTAAGAGCACTGACTGTTCTTGCAGAGGACCCAGGTTCAATTCCCAGCATCCACATTGCAGCTAACAACCGTCTGTAACTCTAGTTCCAGGGGATCAGACACCCTCTTCTGACCTCCTTGGGCATTGCACGACATGGGTGCACCTACCTACATGCAAGCAATACACCCATACACATTAAATAAAAATAAATAAAATATTTTTTAAATAAATAAATAAGAGCTGGAGAGATGGCTCAGCAGTTAAGAGCACTGACTGCTCTTGCAGAGGACCCAGGATCTATTCACAGCAACCACTTGGTGGCTACAAACCATCCTTAACTCCAGTTCCAGGGGAATCCGAAGCCTTCTTCTGACCTCCGTGGCATTGCACGACACAGGTGCACTCACATACATACAGGCAATACACTCATATAAAATAAAAATAATTTTTTAAAAACTAAAAAATAAATTCCATCTTGAAGGCTATATGGGCTACAGAAAGTGCTTAGACCAAACACTTGTTTTCTCTGTTCAAAAAGGAGACTGGGGCTGGGTATTTAGCTCAGTGGTAGACTTTTGACAGAGCATGTAAACTGGTCTGGGTTCCATCTGCAGAACTGCAGGGACAAAATGACAGCAAGAATAATGAAATATTTATTAGCACCAAACAGATACTTTTTGACAATGCTAGGACTGAACCCATTTTGTACAGAGTAGGTAAGCACCATCCACTGAGCTATCACAGCCCTAGCCAGGATGTTCCTTCTGCCAGGCTGAAGGAGAAGTGGGGACAGCAGAATTGCCTCTCTTGTGCCTGTGAGGCCTTTACTCAAGTCATCCCACTCCTATCCATGTGTCCCAGGCCACTCTGGACATAGTCTCCCAGCCATGTGCCTTCCTGACCTTGGAGGCAGCCCTTACAGAATCAGAGGATTACTCCATGGCTCATGCCAAGATCTGACTCCCAGAAGAACTGTGTGAGGTATAGTGAGAAGAAAAGACTCAGCCCCAGGCCCTCAAATGACAAAGACTCTGACTGAGATTTTAGAATAGACCTGGTTTGAAATATCAGTTTTACCAGTTGTTTATGGGCATGTCCTAACTCTGAGCCTGAATTTTCTCATTTATAAAATAGGAATAAAAATGCCACCTCAAGAGTTATGGTTAGGTTTAAAGAACTAATATTTTCCAGGGCCTGGCACCTGATAAGAGTCCTAACCATGTACCACATAAAGATACTTTAGTCAGCAACAGATTGTAGATCTGATGTGGTTCCATAAGATACAATGGAGCTGGCATGGTGGCAAACACCTTCACTCTCAGCCCTCAGGAGGCAGAGGCAGGTGGATCTTTTAAGTTCTAGGCCAGCATGTTCGGCATAGCAAGTTCCAGGCCAATCAGGGCTACATAGTGAGACTCTGTCTTAAAAAAAAATATTTTTAATGGAGCTGAAAATTTCCTATCATGTCAGAACTACTGTATGGAGTTAACAAATTTGCAGTGCTTCCCGCTACACAAAAGTAGAGCGGTACGATTCTGGTATCATGGATAATGCTCGATAAAGATAGTAAGTGCCTAGCTTACTAGTTGATGCATCTACTGTAGTATGCTTATTTTCTCCCTGATTCTGGGGATATCAGGCAAAGGGCTCTACCACTGAACTACATCCCCAGCCCCTATCCTGTCCTCTTTCCAATGTTTTAGAGAGCACGCCTTCTGTTTAAAATAAAGTTTACTGTAAAATAGGATGTGGTACTCTGCCACCTGCGGCCTCATTCTGCACTCGCCTCACCTCCTCGATTGCATTATTTGCCCTGATGCTTGAGTTAATCTCCTGTCTCTGTGCACCATAGCTCTAGAAGCAATGGGCTGCACCACGTTTATACCCCATACAGCCCAGGTCTGCAGTAGGCTATGCCACCTAGGTTTGTGTAAATACACTCCATGATGTCACACAACGGCAAAATCACCATAAGATGTTTTTCAGAAAGTGTCCTGGTCCACAGTTTGAGCATCATGTCCAAGCATGGAGCCTCAAGGCTATTTATGATCAAATCCAAGGAAAACCTTGGAGGATCAAGTGGTTAAGCTGCATACCAGTACAGTTGCACTGATGCTGTTGTCTGCTTCTAGCCTCCAGGAATTCAAGCTCTGGGTAAAGAAACTTCAGCCTGAGGGAGGCAGTAATCTGCTACAAGCCCTGAAGAAAGTCTTCACTCTGAAGGAACTGAATTCTCTGGTGACCATATTGAGAAGCTGGTAGGTCCTCTTTCTTACTAAGTAAGCACCAGCTTATATGAAGGCGAGTTCATAAGCCCAACCAGTGTTTGAGAAAAAAAATCATCAAGCATGATGCTTGAGAGACAAATCATGTTCGTGGACCACCTATGCACCCGTAGGCAGGGCAGCTATGACTGGCCAGACCTGCTGTCCACCCAGCCGGCTCTGCATCTTACTCAGGTGACCTGGGACACAGGTGATCAGTTAAGAATGAGTAGAGGGTCTGGGGAATGGCTCAGTCAGTAAAGTTCTTTCTGTGCAAGCATGAGGACCTGAATTCAGATCCCCAGGACTTATGTAAAAAAATCCAGTCACATCATTGCATGCCTAGGATCGCAGTGCTGGGGAGGCAGAAACAGGAGAATCACTGGGACTCGCTGGCCAGACAGTCTAAACAATATGTGAGCTCCAGGTTCAATGAAAGATCTTATCTCTAAAAGTAAAGTGGGGCCTAAAGAGCTGGCTCAGCAGTTAAGAGCAATGGCTGTTCTTGCAGAGGACATGGGTTCGGTTCCCAGCACCCACATGGTAGCTAACAACTGTCCATAACTCCAGTTCCAGGGGATCCAATGCCCTCTTCTGTCCTCCAAGGGCACTGCATGACACGGGTGCACTTATGCACTTGCAGACATAACACTCATACACATAAAATAAAAATAAAGTGGAGAGTAATAGAGAAAAACACTCACATTGGCTTCCATATGCACACAAACATGCATGCTCACTCCATACACGAACACACACATACACACACACACGCACACACACACACACACACACACGTAGATGTAACCTGCGAACTACCACTTGGCTGTATCTAGGATGTTCTCAGTACGGTTTCAGTGTGACTGCCCACTCCTCTTCCTCCATCTTCTTCCCAGCCCAGATCAGCCTTCTGAAGTCCTGTCTGATTACATCCAGCAGTCTACTGTGGGACGGGACCTCTTCATCCATGTCACCACCTACAAATGTGATGACCATATGCCCTCTGTGAGTGTCTGAACTTCTCCAAAGCTTCTCTTGCAGTTGGCAATAGTGAGCTGGGCTAGCCTTGGGAGCTCTGCACCTAGACAGGACCCCCAAGCTGTGGATCAGAACCTACGTCTCTGACACCTACTTCTCCTGTTGGTAAATGGGAAGCATGGACGAGTCAGAAGGCTCAGCCAAGGAGGGGCTTCTTAGAGTATTGGTGTGGACTTGCCAAGGGCTGACCCTGTCACCATCCCACAGGCTGTCCTGAAGAATCTCACAGAAGCACTTGAGGGGTATTACCACTGCTACAGCCCAGAATCAGAGGTAAGACTTCTATAGACAGGTTGTACCCACTGCCCGCCTCCAAGGCTGTGCTTGGGGGATCACACACTTACTTCCCTCACTTTCCTGCCCTCCATGCTTAGTGACTTTGAACAGGTAAATCAGATGATAGTGAAAACATGGAAAGGAACATGGACAACTTGAAGTCCATTTGGGTCAGCTTGTCTGATGCGTGGATTACACACCTGTGAATCTAGAGACCTTTTAAAGGCTGCTCAGTGGAATCCTCAGTCACTTCCCATGAGTATGAACACCGGCCCAGCCTGTTTCTTTTCTCACTAGAGCTCCTAGACTGAAACAATGGCTTCAAGTTCCTCCCCTAAATAGACTCTTGTTACTGCAAGGGAGCCACAGAAAGGCAGAATGAGCACTCTGTCCCATAGCAGTCCATCTGTTAGAGGCCTTTTCCCCATTAACAACTAAGCATCATCCACACTGTGTTGCCAGTAGAGTTGACAATCAACAAGAATCGGGTCGTGCCAAGCATGTGGTTCACACCCGTCATGCCAGTCATAGGGAGGTGGGAGGATCTCAAGTTCTAAGCTAGCTGTATCACCAGACCCTGTGGCCAACAGACAGAGAATAAGAGACTGCAGAGTGCTTATCCCTGAATAGGACACCTGTGTTAAACTTCTGCCTCCCAAGGCTCAGGGATCATTGCAGATGAGGGGGCAGAAAGATTGGAAGAGCCAGAGGTGGTAGATGACCACAAGGAAAGAGTTTTCCGGACAGCTGGGCAGTTACTCATAGAAATGGTGACAGCACGCACAAGTCTCACATAAGCTCAAGCCAGGAAATATCCCAACATAGATGTGGGGAAATGGGTGAGAGACCTCAAGACCACCTGAGGAACTATTGGCAACCAGTGACTGCTAGGAGGGAGAGAGTCAGTCTCTTTTAAGGGTGTGACTCTTGGTAGGTTAACCAGGTTTCAGTGGATGGACAGACATTTGGGGATACAAATTTGATCCTATAGGCCTTTAATATATATATATATATATGTTCATGAAATTGGGCTGGGGATAGTAAGGGGAGAGCAGATAGAGGAGAGGATCTAAATACAATCAAAATATATTGTATGAAATTCCCAAAAATTCAATTAAAAAATAATAATAGATAGGGACTGGAAAGATGGCTCAGCGGGTAAGAACACTAGCTACTTTTGCAGAAGACTGGGGTTCTATCCCCAACACCCACATGGTGGGTAACAATTGTCTGTAACTCCATTTTCAAGGGATCTGTTGCCTTCCTTTACCGTCCATAGGTATTGCCTGATAATGGGTGCACTTACATACATGCAGGCAAAACACTCATACACATAATAAATTAAAATACCACATGTATTTTGATGAGTATATGTATATGCATATGCAAATATATATATATTTATATACACACATATGTGTGTATGTAGTAAATACTATTGTATACTATAAACACATTAGAAATAAGCCAGGCGTGGTGGCACACGCCTTTAATCCCAGCACTTGGGAGACAGAGGCAGGCAGATCTTTGTGAGTTCGAGTCCAGCCTGGTCTATATAGTGAGTTAGCTGGGGCTACAGGGAGACCCTGTCTCAGAAAGACAAAAAAAAAAAAAGAAAAAGAAAAAAAAAGGAAAACAAAAGGAGTCTAATTTCACATATTCTACGCTTGTTCAGCTGTCACAAAGTCTAGTCTTTCATATTGCGGAATCACAGTCATGCAACAGCCTCTCTTGCTACCTCACACTCTGAACTTGGATTATAGATGTCACAGACTATAGGGGCTAGAAAAGGAAATGAATGGAAACAATGGATTTAAGAAATTTTCTGTTCGGTTTCAAAACATTAAGACCCTTTTATTTGATTCTAATACAGCCAAGAATAAGCACAACTGCTCTTAATTCAAGACACATGATGAGATTCATTCACGTGATTTAAAACATGCCTTATCTTAAAAGCTAGAGTTTGTAATCCCAGCACTCAGAAGGTAGAAGCAAGAGGATCAAAAGTCCAACGTCATGCCTGGTTTCGTTAAGAGTTCATGGCCAGCTTGGGGCCTGTGTGAGACCTAGTCTCAAAAACAACCAAACAAAACCCAGAAAGTCTGGACCCATAAAGCCTTCCCTTGTTGCTTCCGCATCCCACTAGCCCCTGGCAGTCACCAGTCTGCTTCCTGACTCTGGGGATTTACCTGTTCTGAGCATTTCATGTAAATGGAAGTACACACCTTTTGTATCTGGCTTCTCTCACTTAGCACAATGTTTTTGAGGTCCACCCATGTTATAGCCTCCGTCAGTATTTCATCTGTTTGGATGAATGGCATTCCATTGTCTGAGTGGAGCACATTCCATCAATCCATTCATCTGGATTGGACATTGGGTTGTTTCCACCTTTTGGCTGCTGTGAATAATGCTGGATGAGGCTGAGCGTGCAAAGCAAAGATACAAATCCCCACTGTAAGTAATCTGGGATGCAGAAAGTGAAATTGCTCCATCCAATGGCAATTCTATGTTTCGTTTTGCTGTTGATGGTGTTTTTGTTTAATTTTAATTTTTTATGTATTATTACCCTGTATGTGCATGTCTGTGTGGGCATACAAGGTGTGAATGTGAATGAAGGAGACAGCACTGTGAGTCAGTTCTCTCCTTCCACCTTTATGGGGGTTCTAGAAATTCTGTGTTTTATTTTAACACAGGATTTTACACTGTAACCCAGGCTAGCCTCAAACTCATGGCAATCCCCCTGCCTCTGCCTCCTGAATGCTGGGATTGTAGGCATGTAACCACTAGAAACAGTTCTGTTGTTTCTTTGCAGTAGGATCTCACTACCTGGTCCAGGCTGGCCTCCTGCCTCAGTCTCCCAAGTGCTATAATTATAATGTCCACCACCACACTTAGCGTCTATATTTAATTTTGAGAAATCTACAACAGCTGTACCATCTTATAGTCTCACCAGTACTAAGCAAGTATTCCAATTTTCCACCTTCCCACCAACATTTTTTAATTATTATTTATTTATTTATTTATTTATTTATTTATTATGTGTGTGTGTATGATGTCTGTATGGACACACAAGTCGTGCATGTGAAGGTCATTGTGAGTCAGTTCTCTCCTTCCACCTTTACGTGGGGTCCAGGAATTGAATTCAGGTGACCAGGCTTGCATAGCAAGCACCTTTACTACCTGAGCCATCTCACCAGCCCAGTTTTTTGGTCTGTTATGGTTATCGCCATTGCTGTCCTGGTGGGTATAAAGTGTTCCTTAAATTTTTAAAGTTAGAAAATCCTCCAGCTATTTAGAATCCTATAGGCCAGTACCGTATACATGGAAAAAAACATATTGGTTGGCTGTGTCTGGCATATGGATCTCAGTTTATAACCTCTGGTTTAAACAGACTGCCACTCAGCCTTGGGAATTGACTTGGTAGCTAGTTCTTTCCTGCCTTGGCAACTGCTGGCAGCTAAGTGACTTCTGGATAGCTGATTGCTTCCATCACCCCCAGCTCTATATTAATAGGGATGTGGATGAGCTCCTGGCAGAAATCCAGAAGGCCCAGAGCCTCCTTGACCAGGTGCAAGCCCTGAACCAGAGCACACGGTGTGAGGAGCTAGCCTGCACCATCAAGGAAGTAGGTGGAACTCCATGGGCTGGTGTTTGGGAATTGCCTTTCTGTTGACACACTAGCTGTGTGACTAACCTCTCAGAGCCTCCATTTTTCACTTTGAAGCTGTGCATAACAGAAGGTTAGGACAGGTCAAGGCTACCTAAGTGACTTGACAGACCAAAGCTTCTTTGAGTTTCCAGAAGCTTTGGATTTAAGCCTATGGCGGGAATGTGACCTGTCCTTTTGGAGTCTGCGGTACAGACACGGGGAGGGGGAGGAGAATAAACAAATGGAGGAGGAAGTGTTGCCGGGTATCTCTCCCTGTTCCCTGGAAATTCCAAAAGGCCTCAGAGAAGGGGCTGAGGATGATGGGAGGGAAAAAGTAGAATTGCCTTCAACCAACCTGGTAATGTTTTAAGATGCTCCACATGGGGGACTGGGTGAATGGGAGAGAGGTTTCCAGCTCTAAAAGATGACTGTGTAATGAGAGTCTTAAAACTGAATTTAGGTCTCCACAGAGATTGCCAAAGGGCCATTTCCAAGTCTCTTGCCTAAACCCCCAAAGCATGACGCTCCTCTGACAATCGAGTTCCCAGACTTGGACAGGACTTCGGCAGAATGGCTCAAGACCAATGGTCTCAAAGGTGAACCCAGAACCCAGGACCTGGGTGGCCAAGGGCTTCCCCAGAAATGTCTCAAAGCAAATCCAACTTGGCTTTTTCTTTTCTTTTTTTTTTTTTTGGTTTGGTTTTCTAGCCAAGAAATTAAGCCTTTATCAGGTTCTGGCACCCAACGCCTTCTCTCCTGTGGAAGAATTTGTGCCCATTCTCCAGAAAACAGTATCATCTACTGTCCATAAGGTATCGTAAATTCAGGCTTCTCTCCAGTCCCCTGCAGGGGTGCTTCCTTTCGCTGTTTCCCATCTAACGTTAGATTCACACAGTGGAATCACAGGGCACAGCCAGACAAGCATGGGTGTGAGGGCCTGGGTGGGATTCAGGCTTTCTACCCAGAACTCTAGGATGCTCATGAAATCTAGTATAACAGGGCTGGAAATGTATCTCAGGATACAGTACTGCTCAACATTCATGAGGTCCTGGGTTCAATCCCTGGCACCAAAACAAAAACAAGCAAATCAAAAAATATCCACTATAACTGCTGGTTATCAAAGATTTGAAAATGGGGGCTGGAGCGATAGCTTAATTGATAAAGTGCTTGTCTCACAAGTTTAAGGGTCTGGGTTTGACCCCCAGAGTCCGCGTGAAAATGTCAGGCATGGTAAGACACACACTTTAATCCCAGTGCTGGAGAGGTGGAAATAGGAGAATCAGTGGGGCTCACTAGCAATCCAGTCTACAGTAATTGATGAGCCCAGGTTCAGTGAAAGGCCCTGTCTCAAAGGAGGTGAGTGATGTTCCTGAGGATGATACCAGAGATTGTACTCTGTCTTCTATATGCATGTATGCACATTCGTGCGCACACACACTCTCATATAAATATATATATTTAAAAAAGAAAAGAAAAATCTGAAAATGAAACTGGGGTGATGAGGCAAGAGGGAGTGCATAGGGTACCACAATCATCTCCTCTTGAATGTTTTCCTCCACCCCACTCAGTAGGACAGACGTGTTCTCTTGTTGCTCTCACTGCCTTGTACAGACTTCTGTGACTACTGCTATAATGTGATCCTGCATGTAGATCCTACCAAGTATGAGCCCTTTAAAAAACTCCTCCCCAACTCTGTATCCCCCAAGACTAGGACAAGTCAATGAATGCTCCCTAGATGGCTGAGTGGGTGGGTAGATGGAAGGAAAGTTGGGAAGAAGGAACAGAATGATGTGTGTTTGGATGGATGGGAATGTTGGTGAAAGAATGGAACAGTGGGTGAGTGGGTGAATAAATAGATAAAAGGATGGATGACAGATTGGATGGATGGGTAGATGTATAGACATTTGGAATTGTTGATGAATGAATGGAAATGTGGATGGGTGGATGGATGTGTAGACAGACAGATGAAAATACTGATGAATAAGTGGAAATGTAGGGGGTGGATGGATGGAAATGTGAACAGATGGAAGGACAGAAGGGAAAATGGAAGAATAGATTAACAGGAAGAAATAAAGGAAAGGCAAAGGATGAAAGAAAATTCAAATAAGGCTGGAAGGTTGGAGAAGCGGAAGACTGGAACAAGAGATAAGCAGAAAGATCTACGGAAAGATGGACAACTGAAAGGAAAGGGGGAAGGGGAGATGTATGGTTCCAGCAGTGCGTAGATGAATGACTCAGATGAATGGAGTATCAGATAAAAGTGATAGCTTGGGGAAGCATAACAGAGCTGGGTACACAAAGTGTCTGTAAAGGCCTAGCTAGGTTCCCAAACCTAAGAAACTACGGCCAGAATGGTTAGTATCTCTGACTCTTCTCTGTATTAACACAACTATCCACACCTTCATGGCTTTGACGTTCAGCCTCCCAAGAAGGTATCATGTTGTCAGGCATAGCTCACTCAAGGGACCCTTCATCTGTAGGCTTCAGACAATGGTCTGATGGGGGTAATGGTAGTACATGAGTGGATGGGTATAGAAATCTGACCCCAGATGTGTTCAGAACCTATTTCTCTAATGAATGTGAGTTGGAGAGCCCAGTGCCCAAATTAAATGTATCTTTCTCATGCATGCCTCTGTCCAACTGCTCCCATGACTGAGTAAAGAAGGCAATGATACAATTTGAATGGCACGATGGGACAGTGAAGAATGTACATGTGGACCTGCCCTTCCTCTATGAATACCAGGTCAGTAATGAATCCAATCCATCAGAATATGGGTTCAGGAAGGTATCATGGGCTATAGAGACACCAAACCATCACCAAACTTCCCATTTTAAATATTTACTGCATACTCCTTCTATGACACCTTCCTACACGAGGACCTGGATGCCACAAGCAAGAATCTCTGGTCATTTGGGGCAAGATTTGTCTTGCCTTGCATTTGAAGCAAGGAAATAATTGGGCTCTTCCCTTCCTAGTCTTGTGATGGCCTTGCGCCTAACGTTGGGTTCCTAGAAGCCTTCCGGAGTCCTTCTCCTTCTCTTAGTTGCCACACTTCACACACTCACTTATGCTTTTACAGAAGCAGCTTGGGAAAGCTGTGCAGATGTATGAGAGGCGGATCCAGAGGCTCTCCCTGGGCAGCAGAAGAATCTGGGGTACTGTCTGTGAAAGAAGGTACTTCCTCCACAAAGTGTACTCTTGTCCTTCATGGGCCTGGTATACGGCCAGTGTCCATTCAACTCATCATTCCCTGTGGGCAGCCTCAAAGCCACCACTTAGATTAGGGACCAGTAATCTCTCAGCAAAACCCAGAAGAGGGAAAGTCACTACCACCTTCACCCACATCAATGGTGGCATCATTGTGTCAGTCAGGATTCTTTCAATTAAAAAACAACAGAGAGCTGGGCATGGTCACACATGCCTGCGAGCCAAGGTCATGGGAGGCTGAGACAGGAGGATCAAGAGGTCAAGGCTAGAGTTGAGCTTCATAGTGAGACCCTGTCACTAAAGAAAAAAGAGAACTGAAACTAAAAATTAGCTTGAAACTGATGAAGATACCTGAAAACACTAGAGTAAATTTGTTAGTGTTGTTCAGGAATGGCTGGATCCAAAGGTTCAGTCGTGTCAAGACTCTCCCTCTCCACTCTGCTTTCTTCTCTGTCAGCTTTATTTTCAAGCAGGGTTTTCCCTCCGTATGGCAAGATAACCATAAAACCACTTTCTACCAGTTTTGAGCTCCCAGGGCTTGACATCGCCCATCCATGGGCCATCAAGCTGGCCAAGGAGATGCAATATTCTGATTGCCCAGGGTTGAATGCCCACTCCTAAAGCCTGGTAGGGGCCAACTCCACCCAGATCACATGGACTGATAGAGGTGGTACTGTTTCCTAAGGAAAAATCAGGATGTTGTTGCCAGAGAGATAATGGATGTTGAGTGGGAGAGAAATATGTATCCCAATATACCTTATTTGATGCATTCTAATTTACAAAGTAGAGGCTTTTAATATTTTATTTTATGTGTATGAGTGTATTGTCTGCATGTATGTAAGTGCACCCACCAATGCCTGGGGAGGTCAGAAGAGGGCATCAGAGCCCCTGGAACTGGATTTATGAACAGTTGTTAGCTGTCATGTGAGTGCTGGGAATCAAACCCAGGTCCTCTGGAAGGCCAGACAGAGTTCTTAACGGCTGAGCCATCTCTCCAGTTCCATAGTTTTTAATACTTTGCATCTATTATGTAATGTAATTATCAAAGCAACCCCATGAGAGAGGCTCTGTGAGTTGCCTGAGGACATACTGATGGAAGGAGGGGGGAGAAAATATGGAATAATAATATATGAAGTAACAAAAGGAGAGGGGGATAGAATTTAGCCCAGGATGAAAATCTTAAGGCAGAGTGCAAATAAAAAGCTAAAATCACTTCCCAAGAAGCCCTGATGCACCTAAGTCTTCATCTTGCTTGCTCAACTTGTTTCCATTATTCCTATAGACATTGACCTATAAAAGTAATAACTGTTAGTTCTTTAAAACAAATTAGCCAGGCATAGAGACCTATAATTCCCTCACTGGGAGCTGAGGCTGGTGAAGCACAAGTTCGAGACTAGCCTGGGAGACTAGCCTGGGCTATAGAGTGAAACCCTGACTCAAAAAACCAAAGTAATAACAATAATAATAAATGAACAGTAAAATAAGGACTAGGAAGGTGGCTTAGCAGCTGAAGTACTTGCTGTTAGGCCTGTAATCCCAGTTTTGAGAGGCAGAGACAGGTAAATCCCTGGGGCTTGCTAATCAACCAGTCTATCCAATCAGCTCTAGGCTCAGTGAGAGACCTTGTCTCAAAAAATTGTTGAGTGATTGAGGAAGATTCCCAACCTCGCCTTCACACACACACACACACACACACACACACACACACACACACACACACACGAAGTAAAATAAAACAAATTTGTTTTGTAAAAATCACCCTGAGCAGTTCTCAGCTCTTAAACCAGCCCCTCCCTGAGACTTTATTCCATTATAGAAGAGGGGAAGAAGGTTCCAGACCCCTCCTTGTCTGTTGTTATAAGCCCATTTCTGTTGGTCTCAAACCACAGACATTTTTGGCCAGCTATGAGTTTGGCATGCAAAATCTCCTTGGAAAAATCTTTAAATAGTAAAATGGAACGGAATAAACATTATCTGAGAGATGTGGTTTGCCTCTTGAAGCTTGTGTTTCTCTTTAGGGTGGTTATACTGCTGGATATCTCAATGACCAATTCCATGTACATTATTCATATCCAGCACTCACTGCGACTGCTGCTGGAGGAGCAGATGTCCAACAAAGACCACTTCAACCTCATCGCGTAAGTCCCTGGAGTGCCCTGTGGGGAGGGTCCTGTGTGTGGATGCCACTGCAGGGCTGAGCTCAGGCAGATAGCTGGACCACACTCAGTGACGTTCCATGTACCCGGCATCTTAGGATGGCCATCGCATTATCTGATCCAGGTGATCTTCTTTGGGGTCTTGAATAATTGAATGGCTATAGGACTGTCCCACTGGGGCAAAGGTGGTAAGTGGTCCCAAAATACACTGCTTGATCAGCCAGGGTAACGTAATTCAGCCCGTTGCCCCACTTGGCTTCCAAGCTGATAAACACAACAGAGAAAAGGAAGGGACCCAGCTGTGCCCTGGTCTTACTCTTTAGTCTGGTTCTAGAAAGCATTTCAAATGCTTGGTACACCAATTCTAAATTAAAATAAAAATGCTATACATACAA